TGTTTTTTTAACTTTAAACCGCATAAACACATTTCATTACACCAAATACACCAAATAATGTTCTTTTTAGCAACATCATATGACCCCTTTTGTTTAACTTTTTATTGTCACTATATAATTTCCATAATTCCCATTGAGTTATTTCATGGTTTTGATGACTTTACAATGTGAAAAATGGTAAATAATTTGATAAAAATAAGTATCAGTGTCCTTCACAAGTCTTTCACTGTGCATAAACAAACTGATGCAGATCCACAATGTATAACAACACAGAGCTGAGCTTAACATAACATTATGTTGTAATTAATGGTTATTTTGGTCTTAAATTAGCAATTGTGAGAACATGTCTGAAAAGAGTTGCTGTTTCATGTTGCATATTCACCCATCAACAAACACAATGCAGAGAGCTGTCAGCCACACCTCTGTGCATGAGCTGCCCTGCTGTGAGTAATTACTGTAATCAGGTAAGTTAAACAGTCAGCTGTCAGAGATGGATGGAGATTGCATGCTCTGTTTCTCTTTCAGGTAGATCATGGGAGGCTCAGAGCTCTGTTATTAACAAGCTGATGATACGTCAACTGATGAAAATGGTTATTCTGAGTAAGGCGGTCTGACCCCCCCACCACCAGAGAAAACTAGCCATATCTGTGCCGTAATATACAGCTGAATGAGAACTGATTTCACCACCAACAGTTTGTTTAGGCAATCTGTCTCAGAGAGCAACAAGATCACTAGTATCTATCCCTAATGACAGGAGAGATAGGGTGACGAGTATATTAGGGATGTGTCCAAAAACAAAGACATCTGCCATTGCCCAGTCAGTTCGAAAATACAATGATTTGAATTCTGCTTTTCTATGAGGAGTATTTTTTCCATTTTAAATTAGAATTTATGATGATCATTATGTTGGGGCATGGAATAAAAAAAATCCTTATATTATAAAGAATAAAAAGCCTCATTAATAACATGTCAAGCTCAATACGTCTCCTAAAATATCAGTTAATTTGACAGCAAGGCAAGGTTAGCTAGAGGTTGTAAAATGTCATGTGGTCCAACCCTTCAAAAACCTGCTATTCATGAATTGATAACTGATAATATTCGTAAAAGTCTAAAATAAAACGTAATAAAATAAAATTAAATAATGTGTTTTTATTTTTCTAAAAATACACTGAAAATGTTTTTTTTTTTAAAATAATGATTATTTAACGCATATGTTTTAAATTAGTATTTCAAAAGATATTTGCCTTTTCTTTATCCTGGACACTCTTTTTTTGTCACTGACCCTTCAAATAGGCTTCCAAGACAACACGATTGCATGAATTCAAGTGAGTTTCATAGGTAGTGAATATTTCTTGACTACAATACAACGGCATCAGAAGCCATTATTCTTTGCACCAACCACTGAACTGCACAGAAGGAATTGGATATCATAGGAGCATCTTTCAAAAACTGACCGGTTGAAGGGATTTTAGAAGACAGAGTGTTACATAAACACTGGATTCAGATGTGCCTTGAAGCCTTCCTACCTTGCATCCTGCAAAGGTTTCTGACACAAGCTAAGAAACACAACTGATAGGACAGAAAAATACAGAGAGAATGTTGTATGAAAGGAGGAAGCAAGACTGTCCATCACTGATCAGGGAACAAGATCCTGTGTTATGAGAGTGAGCAGTGTGGTTGAAGACAGTCAGTTTATTTTAAGAGAGGGGCTATGACCACAACCACAATAATTAGAACCAAATCACCCTGTTTGTCATCTTAAATGTAAAGGTGCCAACTTGTGGCTAACCAATGATTTTCATGCTCTTCAGAATGTAAACTGAAGCAGCGAACAGCTCCCAATCATTCCAAACATAAATTCTAAATGTTTTCCCTTTATGTGAATGCACAGTCACTTTTTCTTTTCAACCTAAAGTTTCTCTTCCTGTCGGTGAGGGAGGCTGACAGGTGAGATTTTATTACTACGGCTCAGTGCGATTTGCTGTCTCCTGAGGCACTGCAGGAATGTGTGAAGTTTATGAAGTTTATGATTGGGGGAGAGAGTGTGTTGGCAGACTGTGAAATGTATTGTTCATAATGGAAGACAGTGAGAGAGATAAACACAGTTGGAGACGATACACTCCTCACATGCTCCTGGTCCTATCTCTCAGAATAAACACTCCTGGCACCAGGAGTTCTCTTACTTTATTCCTCAGCTGTCAGTCTGACTGAGGACGCTGCATTGTGAAACACCATCCCCCACAAAAACTCCTCAGCTTTTACCCGCTCTCCAAAACGCTGATTTTCAGCATTAGGGCTGACACAGGAACTCGCGTCTGATGCTGAGCTGCTGAGGTGGTGGGTGTTCAGGTCAATCATTTGAGTTAAGCTGTGGCCATGTACACACTGAACAGGTTTGAGAGTAACAAGCGCATTTAAATTTAAATTTAAATGCCAATTCCCCTAAATTATTGTTCTGTGACCACAGATTACAAGAGCATGAAACAGCAAGACAAATACAGACGAGTACCTCTATCCCTCAAAGGCTCATTTTTGTTTGCACAATAACAGACTAGCTAGGGAGTCACTGTCTCCTAAAATTAAACTTTTAGGAGCCAAATGACTTTATTTTACAAATTACAGAATAGTTAAAATGGTTCGTCAGCAGCTTTCACTGTTATTCAATCCTGAGTGTATTTATGACATATAAATGTCACTGCTTTGTACAAATATTTCTGCCTGTTTGTATAAAATATATAAATTGAATTATAATCATAAAAAAAAAAAATTTATAAAAAGTATTTATCTTTAATCTCTAGAAAAAGCGCAACACTCACACAAATATGAATCTAACTTTATTTATTTAAAAACAGTGACATTTCGACCAACTTGTCTGATGAAGACAATGAAGTAGGCTGAAACGCCATGTTTAAATGTTGCACTTTTTCTGGAGGTGAAATATTATTACTACCAAACAAAGTTTCCTGTACAATCGATTCAACATTATTGGATCTTACTACACTAAACAACCAATGATACTTTTAGCATATTTAAACATTTTTAGAATTCCATTTATTACAACAAAACTCTGTTGCAAATATTTTTAATTACAACAAATAATTCCCAGTTCGCTTAGAACCATCACTAATAATGACTCCGTTCAGTGAGGGAGTTTTTGTGAACTCAGTAACAGCTCTGATTCACGGAGCGAGTCCAATTCAACCTGCTAACTCACATGCAAGTTCAAGACCATTCTGTACTGGTTCATAAGAATCATTTTTTCGTAAATCAGATGGTGTTCATTATTTCATGTAGGAAACAGTGGTGTGCACTTTAATGAGACGTCATCTGCATAAACTAAAAATAAGTTTTGTAGATTGCCACCAAAGGTGATTAAAATTGTAATTATTGTCCAAAGTTTTTTTGTTGGTCTAATTTGCAACCGATTTAGTTTGGAGCCCTGGAGTGACTTTGGATGGTTCAGAGCGGTGTCGTTGAAGCAGAAGTGTGTTGATGAGGGTAAACTCACTCACCAAGTTCTTGAGGATATTCACGTCAGTCTCTTTGGAGACGTCCTTCACTTTCCCTCCAGTCAACTTAGCCAGCGGCTCCTCCTGCTTTCCTGCGGCATCAATGGCAGCAGCGCTCGAGGCTCTGGACTCAAACTGAAAAGCAGGAAAGGGTCACAGCTTTAAGTTTCTTGCATCTCTGAAGAAGAGTTACCACCCATTAAGTTCTGCAGAGAGCAGGCAGTGAAGATGAATCACAGATTATTCCCAGAAGAAAGAAGAGCAAATGAAAGCATCAGGTGAGCAGGTGCAACCAGTCAAAAATCATTCTTCAATTACTGTTCCCCCCAAATCCCAATTTCAATTGTGAGAGAAACAATTGGACCTTGTGCAGCGCTAATGAATCAAAGCACTAGTTTTTGGTTCCGAGACCACCTGAGAGAGAGAGCAATAAATAGAAAAGCAGACAATGAAAACAGGGAAGGGTGGTAAAGTATGTTTGTGCGTGCATGCGTGAGCTGGTTTTTGTGCATGTACAACTTTTGGCAGAAGAGCAGTTGTTCTTGGCCTGCTTATTTTACACCCACAAACAAGCACACACTAGAAGTCTCTAATAGCTATCTAATAAGGAAAAAACAAGCATACCAGCCACACTGAGATGTGTTAAGAGGTTAGTTCACCCGTCATTATTTACAAGGCATATGGGGCTTATTTATTCCTTCTAGACCTTTTACATTGATTGATAGTGTCCATCTCAATTCACTTTCATAATATATAAAAGAGCAGCTATTATGCTACATTTCTCCTTATGCCACAGAATAAAGTACTTTTTTTTTTTTTTTTTGGTGAAGTAAAATCTTTTCATAATACAAATAATTTAATTTCAGAATTACAGAAAATGATGATTTAATGCCCTCAGTGAGAAAAACCAATGGTGGCCGGGAAGATGGCAAGGCACATATTTAAATAAATGCAATCTATTAAATAATGTAACACATTTAAATAAATGAAACATATTGGAATAAATGTGCTGGTGTCCTCATGTTTTTTCATCTGTTAGCCTGTTCATGCATGCATATTTTTCTCTGTGATTTCAGTGGATCCGTCGCAGGTTGGGAAAGGAGTGGCTCTGATCACGGTGATGGACATTAATGACAACGCACCAGTCTTTGCCATAGAGTATGAGACCATCCTGTGTGAAAGTGCTGGGCCAGGACAGGTAATGTGGCTCTTGATTCTTCAACAGAAAGGCTTTCATATCAAATGCGATTTGAAACCTGTATAGTCCAATAAACAGAAATGATTATTCATGTCACAACTTTTCTGATATTGTATGAAATTAATTGTGCAGCATTACTGTTGGAAGCACCTAATAAATGAGAAGAGATCTCATTTTCAGATTATGTATTGCAGTGTGCAGATTAAGATGGTTTAAACCAAGGTTATAATAATGCGTCTTTTATTTTTTTCCTTAGTTTATATGTATATATTTTGATATCCTTCATCAGAAACTCAACCGGAAAGAATCTGGACCTTAGTACTGATCCATAGCCAGTAAAGAGCAGCGAGAGCCACAGATGGACAAAATGATAACAACAGGATTCTGGTGGCTTTCTGCTGCAGATCACTCTAATCACGGGATCAAAACATTGTGCGCTCATTCGGAAAAAGCTTTACACTGATGCAAATGAGACAGAGGTGACTGTGGCATGAAATTGGTTTGTTGGGGAGCGTGGCATTGTGTCAAGTAGCCAAATGTGAAGTCCTTCAGCAGGCAATTGCAGAACACACACACAAGCAAACCAATGGGTTCCTCATTTTCGAGCCAGCAACATGCCCTGATTCAAACACATTCTCTGTCGCATTCATATTCCAATGTTTGTCAGAATGTCATTACTAAGATGAATGTGGTATAAAGGGCATTACGAATGCTACATACTAAACACTCGCTATGAGTGCATAGAGGAAACATTCTGGACCTTTGTTCAGTCCTAATGGGAATGATAAAAGCCACTGACAAATTCTGTGACGTGATGCACCATTGATCTTGAAAGCGCTGGGTAATGTCAGAGGACCAACACCAGTGGTGAAAACATGACTGATTCTACTCAACTATAGGTGCCTTTCCTTCTCAGAGCATCTACTGCATTACTACTGTAACTTTATAAAAGCTACACAGAAAGAAGTTAATATTTATATTCTAATACTGCATTTATTTTCTAATTCTGATTTTATTTTCTTGTAATTGCAACTGTATCTCACAGTTGTGACTTCATATTTCACAATTGCATTTATTTATCTCAATTTGTGACTTCATGTCTCACAGATTTCTCATAATTCTGACTTTATCTCACAATCTAGACTTTGTGTCAGCTGCGGCTATTTCTCATAATCTCGGCTTTATCTCACAATTGCATCATAATATTTCACAGTTGTGACTATTTCTCGTAATTCAGACTTTCTCACAATTATGATCACATCAGTTGCAGCTATTTCTATATAGTTCTACTTAATTTCTTGTAATTTGCAACTTCTTATCTCACAGCTTTGATTATTTCTCATAATTGTGACTTTATCTCACAATTGTGACTTTATATTTTACAATTTCAAATGTATTTTTCAGAATTTGTGACTTTGTGTCTAATTGGTTGTCTTTTTCTTGTAAATGCAACTCATGACTGCAGGTTTATGCCAATTTAACTTATAATTGTGATTATTTCTTGTATTTGTGACTATATATCACAATGTGAGTTTCTTCTTTTAAGCTGTATCTCACAATCAAATGTTATTATTATTGTTATCATTATTATTATTATTTTATTTATTTCTTCTTTTTTATAAATCGTCAGAAACAAGAAACAAGCTTCCATATAAACCCTACTTAGTAACTGTAATTGTTTCATTGACAGACGGTGTTTATTTAGAGGAGAATTAATAGTCAATTTGCAGAGGTTTTTGAAAATCTTACTCACTCAATTACAATGTTTTTATTAGTGTATCAGAAATTGACTTGATCTGATCATTTCTTTTGGGAGCAGTGAAAGAATACTGAAGGATGTTTTTCTTTTTCTTAAGAAAAATAATCCCTCCCACAAGATCTCTCAAAACAAAGAGAGGACAGAACAAGGCTACAGGGTTTACTGAGCATGAGATACAATCCCCTGTAGTGGCATGATTGTCTGGGCCATAACAATTAGTCCTGGCCTGCCTGTGTCCCAGACTCACAGGGAACTGTGTTTGTTTTGCCTAAGTGAAAAGATGCTGGTGGGCTCTTTTGACAAATGCTATCTCAGCCTTGAAACGCATTACCATAGTCCCCCAAGAACACTCTCTGTGTGTTTTGGACACCCCAGACTTCCATCACTTCTAACTTTCAGAGCTCTCTCTCATATTAGAGGCTAAATTACTTTCCCGCCTCTCAGAGGAACAGTAGAACGGTCTCTCTTTCTCTGAATAGA